GTCACAAGACATGCTGGTCTGGGACATCCGTTTGATTCTTTTGAAGTAGTTGGCAGATGCAGAATAAGGTTGTCTACGCTATAGCCTATGTCAGCATAATTTATGTCAATCAGGGGTGTGAACAAACCACACCCCCCCCCGAGCGACATAAGTACGCCGACGTAAGTGCTTGTATGCCCCGCGCTGTCGACAGGAGAGAAACTTCTGCTGCCTACAGAGGTGGTTATTTTATGCTGGCATCAAGTGTCTTCACCATAGACATGGCCTCAGACCCTTATCAGTTGGGTGACATAAGCTTTTGTTCTACTATAAAAAAAAAGAGTTATGGAGACAAGGTTGACGACCTTCAGGGCACAGTTTAAGTTCTGCCTATTTGTCCAGGCTTTTTGCCTAAGGGGCAGAGTGCTGTGTACACAGTCTTCTCTAAGGGGTAGGGATTTTAGTTACATAGCCATTCACACTGATCAATAAATTTAGTGTTTTAATCAGTTTTGTATATTCACCCAGAGGCAAAGAGATGAAATGTGTTACCTTCACCTTGAATGGTCACTTACAACATGTTAACTCGTTATGCTAAACAATCTATTCCACCTTGTATTTAGCTATGACATTGAGTACCTTTTGCAGACCTGAAGAAGAGCTCTGTGTAAACTTGAAAACTTGTCTTTCACCAACAGAAGTTGGTCCAATAAAATATATTACCTCACCCACTCTGTCTCTCAATAAATCTAAAAATACATTTAAAATACATACCTCAGAGAGAGTCATAATGAGAAAGTTTATCACTTTAATTAAATCCAAACTAAGTTATTCCCACCACTGGATTTCCCAGCACGTTCTGTCTTTTGTGCATCTTTCTTTTAGACTGTAGTCTTTATTTTGGGGTTTAAGTGTCCACTAGCATTTGTGCTAAGCAAATAATTAAAAATAAGCATATTATAGTTTTCTAAGCAAAATAAAATGTTTCATCTAGACTGGATTTTTTGGGAGGGAATGAAGGGAAGAGAGATCCATGTAACTGCTCTTTATATCTCCATTTTCCCTGATTTCCAACCTTACCAAGTGCTCCATCGGTGGTAAATATTAATGTCAACAACAAACTAGCAACAAAGCGGATTTATACAAATAGAGTAGAGTGTAATGGATTGCTTGATGGACACAAAATTGTCAGTTAAACCAGTTCTATATCTAAGTGAGCACTGGCTGCTTGCTACTGGTATAGAAGTGGAGAGCAATGACTGTTACATGGGTGGGATTATTAAATTAGTACCGATAAAATTGGTGTTCTACACATTCAGTTTTGCCTGGCTAGAAAACTACTTAGGAGAGAGAACATGTGGTGTGATAGCACATGTAAAGTGCAAGGACAGCATGGGGATCTGAAACACAAACCACTGTAACAGACCTACTGGATCCTGTGGGACAAGAAAGCTAGGAAGCATGAGACATCAGGAAAAACAGAACCTTAGGATAATCTTTTTCTAAGTGCTAAATAATTGTCACATAGTTTCCTTTTTTCTCCACTAAGAAAAGGAGTACTTGTGGCACCTTAGAGACTAACCAATTTATTTGAGCATGAGCTTTCGTGAGCTACAGCTCACTTCATCAGATGCATACCGTGGAAACTGCAGCAGACTTTATATACACATAGAGAATATGAAACAATACCTCCTCCCACCCCACTGTCCTGCTGGTAATAGCTTATCTAAAGTGATCAACAGGTGGGCCATTTCCAGCACAAATCCAGGTTTTCTCACCCTCCACCCCCCCACACAAATTCACTCTCCTGCTGGTGCTAGCCCATCCAAAGTGACAACTCTTTACATAATCAAGTCGGGCTATTTCCTGCATAGATCCAGGTTTTCTCACATCCCCCCCACCCCCATACACACACAAACTCACTCTCCTGCTGGTAATAGCTCATCTAAACTGACCACTCTCCAAGTTTAAATCCAAGTTAAACCAGAACATCTGGGGGGGGGGGGGTAGGAAAAAACAAGAGGAAACAGGCTACCTTGCATAATGACTTAGCCACTCCCAGTCTCTATTTAAGCCTAAATTAATAGTATCCAATTTGCAAATGAATTCCAATTCAGCAGTTTCTCGCTGGAGTCTGGATTTGAAGTTTTTTTGTTTTAAGATAGCGACCTTCATGTCTGTGATTGCGTGACCAGAGAGATTGAAGTGTTCTCCGACTGGTTTATGAATGTTATAATTCTTGACATCTGATTTGTGTCCATTTATTCTTTTCCGTAGAGACTGTCCAGTTTGACCAATGTACATGGCAGAGGGGCATTGCTGGCACATGATGGCATATATCACATTGGTGGATGTGCAGGTGAACGAGCCTCTGATAGTGTGGCTGATGTTATTAGGCCCTGTGATGGTGTCCCCTGAATAGATATGTGGGCACAATTGGCAACGGGCTTTGTTGCAAGGATAAGTTCCTGGGTTAGTGGTTCTGTTGTGTGGTATGTGGAAGCCCTTGAGGAATTCCACCATGATTTCAACAATTTCCATCCCACCACCAACCTCAGCCTGGTCCAGTCCACACAAGAGATCCACTTCCTGGACACTACAGTGCTAATAAACAATGGCCACATAAACACCACCCTATACCGGAAACCTACTGACCGCTATTCCTACCTGCATGCCTCCAGCTTTCACTCTGACCACACCACACGATCCATCGTCTACAGCCAAGCTCTGCGATACAACCGCATTTGCTCCAACCCCTCAGACAGAGACAAACACCTACAAGATCTCTGTCAAGCTTTCTTACAACTACAATACCCACCTGCAGAAGTAAAGAAACAGATTGATAGAGCCAGAAGAGTTCCCAGAAGTTACCTACTACAGGACAGGCCTAACAAAGAAAATAACAGAACGCCACTAGCGGTCACCTTCAGCCCCCAACTAAAACCCCTCCAACGCATTATTAAGGATCTACAACCTATCCTAAAGGATGACCCAACACTCTCACAAGTCTTGGGAGACAGGCCAGTCCTTGCCTACAGACAGCCCCCACACCTGAAGCAAATACTCACCAACAACCACATACCACACAACAGAACCACTAACCCAGGAACTTATCCTTGCAACAAAGCCCGTTGCCAATTGTGCCCACATATCTATTCAGGGGACACCATCACAGGGCCTAATAACATCAGCCACACTATCAGAGGCTCGTTCACCTGCACATCCACCAATGTGATATATGCCATCATGTGCCAGCAATGCCCCTCTGCCATGTACATTGGTCAAACTGGACAGTCTCTACGGAAAAGAATAAATGGACACAAATCAGATGTCAAGAATTATAACATTCATAAACCAGTCGGAGAACACTTCAATCTCTCTGGTCACGCAATCACAGACATGAAGGTCGCTATCTTAAAACAAAAAAACTTCAAATCCAGACTCCAGCGAGAAACTGCTGAATTGGAATTCATTTGCAAATTGGATACTATTAATTTAGGCTTAAATAGAGACTGGGAGTGGCTAAGTCATTATGCAAGGTAGCCTGTTTCCTCTTGTTTTTTCCTACCCCCCCCCCCCAGATGTTCTGGTTTAACTTGGATTTAAACTTGGAGAGTGGTCAGTTTAGATGAGCTATTACCAGCAGGAGAGTGAGTTTGTGTGTGTATGGGGGTGGGGGGGATGTGAGAAAACCTGGATCTATGCAGGAAATAGCCCGACTTGATTATGTAAAGAGTTGTCACTTTGGATGGGCTAGCACCAGCAGGAGAGTGAATTTGTGTGGGGGGGTGGAGGGTGAGAAAACCTGGATTTGTGCTGGAAATGGCCCACCTGTTGATCACTTTAGATAAGCTATTACCAGCAGGACAGTGGGGTGGGAGGAGGTATTGTTTCATATTCTCTATGTGTATATAAAGTCTGCTGCAGTTTCCACGGTATGCATCTGATGAAGTGAGCTGTAGCTCACGAAAGCTCATGCTCAAATAAATTGGTTAGTCTCTAAGGTGCCACAAGTACTCCTTTTCTTTTTGCGAATACAGACTAACACGGCTGTTCCTCTGAAACCTTTTTTCTCCACTGTAATTCATGCCAAAGTTTCACACAAAAACCTCCTGCCTTCATCCTATTAATCTTTTGCTTGCTCCATTTTTGAGGAAATTTCTATTTTCCATTTTAAAAACCCAAACCCCTTAGAAAAATAGACCCAACACAATATTGTCACATGAAATTGAATGTGTTTGGGTGGTGGAGGGAGAGACAGCAAGTACTGATTTTATTACAAAATGCTGTCTTCATGCTGGGATTTCCAAATGGACCTGAAAGAGATATATATCCAAATCCCTATTAAAATCCAATTGGATTTGGGTGTCTTTGGGCCTTGAAAATCCTAGACATAGTTATCAGAGTTATGTAAAAGCAGAATTGCACAGACATGTAGATAATCCAAACTGTGGGCTTATAAAGGCGTTTCTCACTTCAAATAATGAAATTTCCTGTACAGCAAAACAGACTGCTCACTGGGAACCATAGCAAAAGAGGAAAGCTGTAACTTCAACATACTTCTGCAGCCACAGCTGCATCATTAAGAGTGAAAAAGGAACCACTATTTATTTTAAGTCCAGCTGTGCAAAACCACTTGTTTTCTTCTTCACAAATATTTGTGTGCAGAAATGAGTTTTCAGGTCTCGGAAAACTAAGCTGCAACACTATGAAAAGTTCAAGGTGAGAAGTAAAAAAAAGTCTGCTTTTCCACAAGATTGTAAAAAAATTATTATTGCCAAGGTACATTGAGAAACGTTTTGGCATATTTCTTAAAGAATACAACAGTGAATAATCACAGTGAATATTTGAATTCTTTAAGATCCTGATTCAGCAGGGTACTTAAGTGTGAGCTTAAGTTTAAATACTTGGAATATTTCAGTGGGACTATTGTGATCTTAAAGCTGGGCATGCACTTAAGAACATAAAATTAGAAGAAATCATAAATTAAGAAATGGAAGCAACACAGTCCGACAACTTACTAAATAGACATCCAAAACTGAAGCATTATCATTTTCCATTTCCAGTGTGCTCTGTTCTGAAGTCAAGTAGATGGCACTGTCTTCTAGGGTGAATGTTGAACTCGAAGGTAACCCTTTACTGAAAATACAGAGGGGGGGGGAATATAATGAACACAAAAGCAAATTATACAGAGAAAAAAATTCCTACAAACTTCATCTCTTATGTTTGTGTACTATTTTACAACCTCCCCTCCCCCCTTCTTCAGTACTATACTTTTTAAGACAAAAAGTACAAATATGGCTGATTCCTGGTTAGCAAAAAGTGCTCACATACAACTAATGTGTCTTATCCGCACATTTCTATTGGTTGGGTTGCATTAAATAAAGTGCTATCAGAAAGAAATGATGCTCTTTCTGAACACTGTAGGCCAAATTCCGCTCAAAGTTGCATCAGGGTAAATCTGGAGTAACTTCACTGTTGTCAGAAGAGGTATTCCAGTTTTCACCTGATGTAACTGTGAGACGAATTTCCTGCTGTGCCCTTAATTTTTAAATTAAACCCAATGGCGAGCGTAATAGCCCCCCCCCCCCCATAACATAAAAGTCTAAAGCGTCCAAACAATACTCCCTATCCCCTACTTCAATTTGGTACAAAAGAAAAGGAAAAACTGACATTTTAGCCTCCCACCCGTGTGATCAGGTTATACTGTGATCAATAGATTATCATGTTTTTCCTGTTTCGCTCATCCTGAATTACAAACAGAGTCATTACTTTGACTATGCAGCCTATTATTTGTTACGCTGAAGTACCAGTGCTTTCTTCATTTGGCTTACGTTAACTGTTATGTGTGAGGGAACACCCATAACAAGACTGCACCCACACACAATTCAGAGTAACGGAAGTTCAATAATTGAGGACTGACCATATTGAATTCTGATGTGCAAATATGGGATTATTCAGGGAAAAAAACTTTCAAAAGCATGTTCCAAGGCAAAAAAAAAAAAAGTATGGAAGGGTGCTAGTGGGTGCAATTAATGCAGTTGTGCGTATGTAGGGCTAATTCGTTATCCACTGGGTGTAATGAGCTGATTTTAATGAATAATCGTAGGAAGGAAGTGTGAAACTGCAGGGGTTTTTGCACTTTTTTTTGCAGGAAGAGCTTGGGCCTTCATTTTTAAAAATTGTCCCTTAAGGGTGGGATTTTCAAAAGGAGTTTAAGAGAGTGACCTGCCCACCTTTCACTGAAAGTCAATGCCACTGTGGTGCCAAAATCCCATCCTAGATTTTTAGTCCCAGATTTTCAAAGATGGTCATCCTTGCTTTATCCACAAACATCCCAGGCAGCCACCTACAGTGCTGCCACTCCAGGACCTAGGAAAGGAGGATTCATTTCTTCCTCCCCTGAAGAACTTCCCAGTCTACAGTTGACTGCTTGGGTTGTGTGCTAGGGACAGGTTTTGCTCCTACGTGTATGCCTAAGAAAATGCACATCAAATACGACAAGAGTATTTGTCATTGCACCAGTCAGTATTATTGTCTCCTTTTCAGAATCAGTAAAATTAGCACTCAAAATATAAAACAAATACAAACAGAATATAAAACAGGATGGATAAAAATGCCCAATACACCTGATGCCACACTAGTATTAGATGCATACAATTACATTAAGATAGTATTCTTACTTTTGTTATCTAGTGCACTGAGTGTCTTTTCAATAATAAGGCTTTATTCCCTTTCCTTCTGGGCTTATCCAATTCCCACTGACTTCAGGGGAAGTTGGATAACACCCTCTATTTATATGCCATCTAGTAACATTTCAGTCACACCACTTTCATTTAACTAAAGACAACAAACAATAAATAAAGCCAGTCTGCCAGGGTAGCACTGGAAGTGCTTCTTGAATGTTGACTATGTTTTATCATCTTACACAAATAAAGCACTGGCTTGAAAGATGTTGTCCCTGGCAAAAAAAGAAAAAAGAAAAAAAAAAGAATTAAACAGAAACAAGAGTTGTTTAGGTTTCATATTTCAATAAACTCATGGGGCCTAATTCAAACCTCAGAATGTACAAAGGTGCACACACACATGGCCATGAAAGGAGGGGAATTACACAGAGGGTGTGGGGTAGCTGCTATTTATGTAGGGATGGGGGCAGGTGTGATTGTAGAGACCAAAGGTCACCCTCCACTTTGGAAGACAGTGCTTCAGGCAGCTGGGTGCAGAGCAGACTGGCAGGCTGCAGTTTATAGCAGGCTGTCAGTGCTGTTTTGTAATGTTTAAACAGAAATAATTTAAATGGTTAAACACAAGTCCTTCATGCCCTAATAAGACTACCGCCTCCGCCACCATCACACACAGTGCCTTTTCTACCCTGCCCCCAAAAGCTGCAGAGCTCACATTCTGCAAGTCCTCTATGTTGGGAGCTAGAGAGACTGAGTGTGAGTTGGGTCAGGACATTTTAGCTGTTTCCCCCTATAAATCAGCCAAGGATGGTTCTGTGACTACTTGGAACAAAATCTTCTACTTCTACTCCAGTTAGTTTATTGTTTCATTCAACCTGGTAATAGACTTTCTTTTCTAGAACATACTGCTCTCCTTTCCTTACCAGTATATTATTTCCTGCTACAACTGATGTTGCTGTAGCCTCCAGTGGTTAAAAGAAAAGGAGGACTTGTGGCACCTTAGAGACTAACCAATTTATTTGAGCATAAGCTTTCGTGAGCTACAGTGGCTAGAGTGTGAACACCAGTGACACGATGCTAAGGGCTGTGATTTTCATTCTGGCACTTAGTGAACTGTCGTTTTCGTTACTATGCAGATAGAATCCATTTCAGTAGTTAGCGGCAGCAATGGTTTCATCTTTAAAAATATGTAGAGGTGCTGCCTTCACCTTACCAGATGCCCATCACCCACACAGAGCAAGGAAGGCTGGTGGTTTCCATGGTAGAGTCCCACCATGCAACAGCGAAGTGGGTATAAGGCAGCAGTAGAGGGAAAAAGAAAAGAAGAAGGGTGGAAAGAGAAGACAAAGAGATGCTACTCTTAATGGTCACAATCCAGTCATCCAGCCATGAACTTTCTATGAGTAGGGCCCTACCAAATTCACAGCCATGAAAAACACACCATGGACCATGAAATCTGGTCTTCCCCCTCCCCCGCCGGTGAAATCTGGTCTTCTGTGTGCTTTTACCCGAGACTATACAGATTTCATGGGGGAGACCAGCGTTTCTCAAGTTGGGGGTCCTGACCCAAAAAGGATTTTCAGGGGGGTCGCAAGGTTATTTTAGGGGGTTGCGGTATTGCCACCCTTACCTCTGCGCTGCCCTCAGAGCTGGGCAGACGGAGAATGGAGGCTGGGTGCCCAGCGCTGAAGGAGGCGCCCCGCCAGCAGCAGCACAGAAGGAAGGGTGGCAACACTATACCATTCCACCCTTCCTTCTCTGGTGCTACTGGTGGCAGCTCTGCCTTCGGAGCTGGGCAGACGGCCTGCAGCCGCTGCTTGTCAGCTGCCCAGCACTGCTGCCAGCAGCAGCAGCAGCACAGAAGTAAGGGTAGCAGTACCACAACCCCTCTGCAACTCCTTTTTGGGTCAGGACCCCTACAGCTACAATACGTGAAATTTCAGATTTAAATAGCTGAAATCAAGAAATTTACAATTTAAAAAATCCTATGACCGTGAAATTGACCAAAATGGACCGTGAATTTGGTAGGGCCACATCTGTGAGGCAACAGTAGGGAGAGAAATAAAGACATGCATACAAGGGAAAAGATATATGCAAGAGGGCAGAGTAAAGAGCCTAATGATAAGATAAATCATCTGTTTGGGAGTTAAGACCCTGAGGGAAAGAAGGCATTGCAGGAGAAAAAGGAAGAGGAATGAGGCAATAGGAATTGCATGAGCCAGCACATTTCTTCCTGTAACTGAACTCCCCAAAGGTATCTACATGGACAGCAAGCTGCCTCTTGCTTCTGTGACTATCATTTCAAATGGTCAGAGGTCATCCCTTTAGCAGCCATTCATAACAAGGTAACAGTCTCCAGCACAGAACTGTTTATTAGATGGGGCCTTCCCCAGGTGGTCGTAAGATTTCAGTTGATCAGGTCCCATGCTTCAGGGGAAGCACACTGTTTGGTGGGATAGCAACAAGGAAATCACCATCCTTCCTTTCTTTCTATAGAAGGTGGGGTAGAAAGTAAAAGCTCAATAACAAATCCTTGAAAAAGACATGCTCCGAGCTACCTGGTGAAAAAGAATGCACAATCCAAGATAAAGGCTGTCTCAAATACTGTGAAAAAGCTGCAGTGTCTCAACGGGCTGGCCATGTTACAAGAACTAGAGAAACTGGATTCTATGTGTGATAAAATGGAGTGCAATAGACTTCAATGGTAGGGACAATAGTAACCAACACCAGAAAAGTTGTTGTCAGAAGCCTTTGCAGCACCAATAAAATGTCACCTTTGTCCCAGGACAGGGATGGTCAGGTGCACTCACGTTTCATAGGCAGCTCTTCATTTTGCAGTGAACAGAAAAAGGTTCTGATGATGCCAAAAAGAGTAATACAGGAACCTGCAGTATCCTTGTGGCAGAACAGAGCTTCGTTTTAATCTACCTGGACATTCAGTAACTGGAAAATTATAGAAAATGTAACTGATACTATAAGATACTACAAGAAAATGTTAACTTCTACAGATTTTTTTTTTTTAATCAGCACTTTGCAAACTTGGAACAGCAGGTAGAAGCTCCCCTTTATTTATATACCTGAGAAGTTTGTGTCTTATTTTTAGGTGAAGCATCTGGTTTGGAAACATTGCTGGAAAGGGCATGTGAACAAGGACTGTCAGTACTAGGAAGCTAATCTGTAAAGTGAGTAAAGGAGAAAGTGGAAATTCTGAGTCACTGGCACATTAGTTTGCATTTGGAACCCACGCTGGTGCCAGAATACAGGCTATATAGCCTTTGCCAAGAGCTAAATTCTGCCACACATTAAGCTGCAGTTTAATGTTTATTGATAATACTATAATGTCACTTCAGTAACACACTGTCTGCAGCAAACTAACACAGACCCTCCAAACGGAAATACAGAAGAACATACCGCCTACGCCAACAAGGCTCCTCAGTTGGAAATCAGTCTGATGGC